CCTTCATTTCCCCAGCACTGTGCACGCCCTCCCTACCTCCCACCCAGTGGACAGGGATAGGTGTCAGCATGCTCCCACCTCCTCAGCCCCTCCAGGGATATTGTTCCATCACCCCCATTTGACAGCCCTGCTCTTTTGAAGTGTGTACAATCTATTACTTCCGCCTTCCTGAACTCCTGGTCTGCTTCCTACACTATGGGCCACTCCACTTTGTTTGAGGACTTTGAACCTCATAGACTTCTCTATCCTTTTCCCTGACATGCTCTTCCAGGCTTCAGCATCAAGGTAAGTTTCTTTGTCCACATAATTACTTGACTTAAACCTCAGTGACTTATAGTTCGACTATTTTAGACACCCATGTGCCTCACTTCCTCTCCTGTGAATGAGCTCTCTCTTGAATCTCTAACTCTGAAGTTCCTGTTGACCGCAGCTGTCTACACACCCACCTCCCTTTGTCCATCCCATCTGTGGAGCCTGCTCTTTATCCTTGGTGTGACTGCAAGTTTTTGTTTTTTTGTTTTGTTTTGTTTTGTTTTTGAGACCCAGTTTCACTCTTGTTGCCCAGGCTGGAGTGCAATGGCACGATCTCAGCTTACTGCAACCTCTGCCTGTTCGGTTCAAGCGATTCTCCTGCCTCAGCCTCCTGAGTAGCTGGGATTACAGGCGCCCACCACCATGACCGGCTAATTTTTTGTATTTTTAGTAGAGATGGGTTTTCTCCATGTTGGTCAGGTTGGTCTCAAACTCTCGACCTCAGGTGATCCACCTGCCTCGGCCTCCCAAAGTGTTGGGATTACAGATGTGAGCCACTGTGCCTGGCCTGACTGCAAGTTTTAATGACCCCTTCCTTTCCCTGTAATCCTCTGGTAAGCTATTCTCTCCATCCAGTCTCCCTATCCAGTTCAAACTGCATGACCCACCATGCCAACTTAGCGGGAACCGGGAACCTGACCTCTCACCCCTCAGGCTTGCTTGTGTTCTGAGCTCCTGAGGATGCTCATTCGCCCATGGTTCCTCTTGCACGCCTTCTCCTCCACAAAGACTTCCCTTCCGGCCCTGAAGCTGAGGGGATGGGTCTTTCACTCCAACGCCAATACCATTTGTGCCTCTTTTATGGAACTCCATTCTAACTCAGCCACATACCTGTCCTGCCTCCTCAGAGTGTGAGCTCCAGAGTATGGACAGCTCCAGCTCCGTTCTCCCAGTGCCCAGCCTCCATGTTTGTGGCTAGCCCATGTTGGCTTAATTTGGTGATTGGATAATTTCTGCTTTGGCAAGAGATAGCTAGCTACATCACCTTGGGCTGATAGTACCCAGATTTAAAAAGCAACGTGTCTTTCCAGAACAGGAGAAAATGAGTAGAGAAAAAGAATAAAGCCCAGCAGTAAGGTGTATATGCATTTTTTTTTCTTTTTAAAGAGACATGTCAGAGCCAGGTTGCAGGCAAATACAGTTGAGAAATGCTTTCTCCCAAGGTGCCAGTGAAATTCTGCTAGCATTCAGGGACTCTAGTGGTAAACAGGCTTATTTTGGCAGTGACCATATATCTCGGTGTCAGGTGACAGCCTTGGCAGAAAGATGTGAAAACATCACGTCTATGCTGAAAGGAAAGAAATTGCGTTTTTTTTTGCTGGTGTAGAAGGATAGGCTTTCCTTATGTAGCCAGTCCTGTGCAGCCAGCTTTAGAAGCAAAACTGCAGATGCACCCATAGCAATAATCTGAGGCTGTGCTGCCAGAAGACAACAAAGTGTGTCACACAAGCTGATGCCAACACCCTGCTTGTACAAATACTTGGGACCCACATGCTGGGCTTTGCATCTTTCCACCTGTGGGAAGTGCAAGCACACATTCCACCTGTTTCCTCAGGAAGGAGTGACCTGCTGCTGAGAGGGGCTGCAGCAGCAGGGACAGGGCAGTCCGGCATGTTAGGTAAATAATCACCGCCTAGATTGGTCAGCCTTCGGTGAAGGTGACGTTGTCTCTCACAGGGGTGGGAGGGTCAGTCTTTTAGAGGCCAAGACAAATGATTAAGAGACAGTACAGTTTAAGACAGCACCAGCTTTATTGGCCACTCAGAGCCTGGAAACAACACTGTGCACCGAGAGCTTACAATAAAGGAACATGCATTTTCCAGTGCACAGTCAACAAGGTGGCCTCCCTTGTTGCTCCCGGGGTTGCGCCAGACATCCATTTCTGGGCCCAAGACCATTGATCCTTAAGGGTCCTCTGTCCTGTCTGCACACGTAGGCTCTGCTGGGCAGGATCTTCCTTTCCAAAGCCCTCTTGTGAGTAAAATAACATTTTTGAAACAATGGTGTGTAGATCAGGTGCAGTGGCTCACGCCTGTTATCCCAGCACTTTGGGAGACTGAGGTGGGAGGATTGCTTGAGACCAGGAGTTCAAGACCAGCCTGGGTGACATGGCAAGACATTGTCTCTATAAAAAATACAAAAATTATCCGGGTGTGGTAGCATGTGCCTGTAGTCCCAGATACTCAGGAGGCTGAAGCTGGAGGATCGCTTGAGCCCAGAAGTTTGAGACTGCAGTGAGCCATGGTTGTACCACTGCAATCCAGCCTGGGTGACAGAGCGAGACTCAAAAACCAAAACCAAAATAAAAACCTATGGTGTATGGAGGACGGTACTGGGGACTTTTAGGAGCCACAGAACCTCCTGTGCTTGCTATCCTCCAGGTGCCCCCGATCACTCTGCAGCTGGGAGGCTGAGCCTACAGTACCACAACAAACTCCCCTTCCGTTTGGGCATCAGCCAAGGGAGACCCCAGCAAGGGACTATACGGGTAGAACAGTCAGACATCTTCCTTCCCTCTCCCTCAGGCCATGGTTTTGGCAGAGCTGCACTCCTGCTGCTTGGCAAGCTCCTGCCAGGTTCTAGGAACTGTTCTTCCCCTGCCTCTTCTACGCCTAGGGTGGCAGCTACTTTGTACTCCACCTTATTTTCCTTAACCTTTGCCATGCCTCTGCAAAGAGCTTTCCTTGACGCTTTCTCTTAAATCTTGTGAGCTGTTTCCTGCTCCGCCTTGACTGATGAACCTGTCTGATTGCTATGGCGGGCCTCTGTCCACCAAACCATATCAAAATCCAAAGTGTAACTTTTATTTTTAAATTTTTTTTGAGAATGGGTCTCGGCCTCCTGTCGCCAGGCTTCGTGGGTGGCATGTGGCGTCAGATCTTTCTGGCCACTGCAACTCCGCCTTCTGCGCTCTCAGCGATTCTCCTGCTCAGCCTCCCAATAACTGGATTTATAGCAACCGGATGCCCAGCTCAATTTTGTATTTTTAGTAGAGATGGGGTTTCACCAATGTTGGCCAGGCCTGGTTTAAACTCCTGGCTCCGTGATCCACACCGCCTCGGCTCCCAATAGTGCCGGGGATTATCAGGCGTGAAGCCACCGTGCCCGGCACAAAGTGCGTCTTCACAAATGCACCATGTTTTTAATGCATTGCTATTAGGTCACCTGTAGTTTTGTGGTGAAAACAGTCTAATTCCTTTCCGACCATGTGGCTTTGATCCAAAGAAGCCCTTCCGGCTTCGAGGCTACTTTTGGTCACTGGTCAAGATGACCTTCATAGGCCCTGGCTAAAGATTAAACGAGAAGGCAGTAGGGAGGCCTTTTTCCTTCTAAGCATTCAGGTCTTGGCTTCATGTCTTCCTCCTTTCTTTG